TAGCTGGATGCATCTTAGAGGAATAACAGAGTTGCACAAAATATGGTTAAACAAACCAAATCGTTCGAAACAGAAATTTGTTTTTGGGCCGTAACAAGAATGTGATACTTTCTTTGATTTTATGGTTTCTAATTTGGTAGAATTTCGATATAGTTTGATTGTTAATGCTTGTTTAATCCAAAATGAAACGATAAATCGATATTATGGTTTCCTATTTTTCTTTTCCGCCTAACCAAAATTTTGGATATCCAAATTTTTTGTTGATCGATTCGATTTAGACTTATTTGACACCCTAACCAATAGCAGTATTCTTAGCATTAGATACGGCTATAAACTTATACTTCTATATTCAAAATATCATAATTTATCGAGCCTATGAGTCAATCCTGATGCTTCATGTATATATTAATGCAAAGTTTCTCGAGTCTTTATATAAACTTCTGATGTTTCGTGATTCTATATGACGAATTTTGGTGCTTCATATGAGTCAATTTATGATACTTCAAGTAGTTCATGTACAACTAGACTTCTTTCCATTCTCATTAGGATTTTTAAAATTATAAAACACTTGACTAACTTAAGTTATAAATATATTTTAAAAGTCAATAACTATTATACTTGATATTGGCTTTTCATATACGAAATATCAAGTTGATCATCTCTTGACGAGCTTCTTTTTTTTACATCCATAATGCTCATATAAAATAATTTTATTTATCTTTATAATAAATTATTAAGCTATCTATTAATATGAATTACAAACTAATAAAATTACCCATTAGCTAAAATAAATTTAGGTATAAATTTATTATCTGATATGAGTAAGAAAATTTATTATAATATAAAACGAGTAATTCGTACAAGTGGTGAGCGTCGTTTTCAATATAAATAATAATGTAATTTATTAAAAAGTGTTTGAAATTTTAAACAAAGACTTATCTCTCTTTTCATACAAATTGAAGCATAATTTTTTATCCTCTACTCTATAATACATGAGTATTGTACTATAAATTTATAGAAAGAAAAACATTTATTGGGAACCAAAAAAAAAGGAGTAAGTGGGTCAAAAATATTAGAACCTAAATCTTAGGATGCAAAAGTGTAATTTTAGGCTTTGTACTTGTGAGTTGTGAGTAGATAGATACAAAGGGGGTGTAGGGTGAAGGGATTCCACATGCAAGACAGCGAGGCATTGTGTACGTTCATTACAAAACGGGGTACATTTGCCATCTTCTTTTTCCTTCCTATTTGGCCACACATATCCTTTTTCCTCATTATTTAAATTATAATTAATAACAATAATTCATTTTTTTATTTTTTATTTTTATAGCAAATTCAATTTTTTTAATGGTCCCGGCGTATCCTTTTTCGATCATATGTTTGATTTTCCAAAATCTTGCTCTCTTGGATGGATGCCACGAGATTATTATAGGTTTGCTTTAGGGTTTTGAATTTTATGCTTCACATGATTAATTAATATTCATGCCTTTATTATAGAACATGGGATTGTTGATATATGTGTGATGCGAATTATTTTGATTTCTCGATGAACCAATTGAATTTTTCGTACACCAAACATTAATGCTGAATTTGGAAAAATAAGCTTCGACCAAACAAATTAGTGGTGTATAATGACTCACAAATTTTATGTTGCACGTTTGTGGGATTATTGAGACACCTGTTGTTATTAAAGATTTATATTTGATGTGATTGATCTATAATTAGTCTTTTTTATGGATCTATTTTGTAATTTTAATGAGATTATTGTTCCATCACGTATTATTAATGAGTTAGGTACAAGTAATACATACTACTCTAAAAATTATCAGGCAAATTATTTCATTTACCCAACAATAACATTAATATTATATTGACATTAATTTTTTTTTTCTAGAATTTTTTAGTTGAAACTCAATTATTCCAACAACCATTTTTTCAATTGCCATACATTTTTTTATTGGAATTTCTATTTTAATCTGCAAGAACGAGAGTAATGGCATTGGAATAATTTTCGTCCAAATTTCAACATTTTTTTATATTGTATTGGAATTAGTATATTTAGTTAAATTAGGTTACCAACTAGCTTACCAAATATTTGTTGGTCAAATCTAGACTATTGATTGTGGTAATATTAATATTATAATGATAAAAGTTAAACATAATTATCAAGTACATTTTAGATAATTCAATTTATAAATCACTTTGGTAATATATCCCTAAAAAAATCATAATTAGTCAGAGCTGTAATCATAAATTATACTTCAAAATAAATTGGTTAATTGCCATCTCTCAAGTGAGTCATTTTGTTTGCGTCACCTTACGTAATTGTGACCAAAGTATATATCTATCTATAACAAACTTGATGAATTAACAATACCTCAGTTGTATCTATAGTGTTAATTCCAAAACTAGATCAACTTAAACTGATATTATATAAATTTGTGCCACGTGGGAAGATTCAAGTGAATAAAATAAAAAAAGTGAAAGGATTAAGAAAAAGACATATGGCATGCAACCAGTCAAAACCTAGCTAGGTCAGTTTGACTACTAATTGTCCAAATAAAGTTTGATTTTGCAGTGCAAGTGGATTTATTGAGTTAAACTAATCAGAATTATTAGTGAAAATATATTATGTTTCCTAATTCTACATATCTAGTAAAATATTCAAACGCATAAATTTGACACTTTATTGTTTAAATTGATGTTTGATATTGTTTTTAGTTGAAATAATTATTTTTACCTTCATTTAAAAACTTCAATTTTTTTTTTTCTTTATCAAACATTATAACTTGTATTGACTAATAAAATTGTGTGAACTATAGTAATTATAATTTTAGGGAAGCTTCTGGGAGCTTGTCGTAGTTGCTGATTGTGAGACGGGTCAATATATTTACACTGGCTGTTAATTTTAATTACATTTTACCTGTTTGTAAAAGAAAAAAGACAGTGAAAGATAAAAATAAATGAAAATAAAATAGATTTCACATGCCCTCACTTCGTCTCCACTCCAGAACAATACACGCACTCACACACACATGTCTGCACGTGTGCATATGGCAATTTCAGAAATTCCCAACAGATTTACACACATGTATGCACGTGCACACACATTTCAATCCTATAAATGTTTTTCTCAAGCTTAATTGAGCTATTACTAATATACTCTACTACACTAGTTGTACACTTGTACCAACTAATTTGAACTTATGAGTTTGTTTGATTTTATTATGTATTTATCAATATGAAGTATACTTTTTTAATAAATTACACATATTTTTAAATTCAGACTTAATTTCATGTTTGAAAAAAAAATATAAATAAAATTAAATCATTTTCAATACAATTATCTAATTTTATATATAAATTATAACATGTATACTAACTGTTAAGAAGATCTATCCCTCGTACTTTATTAACAAAAAAGCAAATATATACTATGAAAATGTCATTTATATTTATGTTTTTTTATAACATGACATTTCAGTTTAAAAGTATACATGTCAGAAAAAGTATGATTTATCCGTGTAACAATAGCCTTTTTATTTATTTATATGTATTATAGAATCAGACCCTATTAATTTGGAATTGAAGTTTCAAACTGAACTCCTATAAATGCCCAGAATGATAATGTTGAAACATTTTAGATGTTTATTATGAGAAGCAGCCGTTAATTTTGATGAGGCCACGATACTAATTCTTGGAACTGTCAACATCAAATTAACTACTGATTTTAAGTTATGAATCTCCCAATAAAATAAACAGGAAAGGTATATTTGAAATTCTCAATGAACTCAAAAGGACAAAAACACGAGGGCATCATAAGTTCAAACCACACGTTGATTAGAACAGTTATTGTCTCCTTAAACAATATATCTGGCAATGAGATGTGGATTACAACGTTTGTTTTCTTGATTAGTTTAATAATGGTGTGATTATTTTAATTTATTACATAAGTAAAATTATTATTGTTGTTATTAATTAAATTTTTTAACTGGGTGGTGATTTGCAGTGAGCATGATACTTTGATGGGGCTTTGGTTTCTTCGTCTCATCAGTCAAAGGTTAAAAATAGTGAGTATCATGTGCTTCTACTCTCGGATCACTCGTTGGGACAATTTACTTACCTTAAGTGTGACTATAAATTAGTTGGCTATTTCAATTTTTTTTTATTTGTCACAACCATATATTGTAAGTGTGAGGATAATATAAATCCTTTTATTCAAACCAAATAAAAAAAGATATAGAAAATAATGGAACTACATCTTCAATCACAATATTTTGTCCATGTTGTTGATACTCAAAATCTGTCGACCTAGATTAAAACTATTAAACCAGTTATGACATGGAAAATAAAGTTTATACTAACGATATTCTCAGGGCCAATGTACCAAGAACATATTGACCTTGACAAAGACCGCAGACCTCCAAGCCAGTCTCTTTCTAGCACCGATTTCACTCCAGATTGTAGAGTAATCAGATAACGAAGTCACCTCACATCGGCCAAAAACAAGATTTTCTCCTTGTTGTTCTCTATTGAATACTAGTGTGAAAATGATTATCGCCCAACGACCCAGAATTGGTTCTCACTGCCCAAAAGGATAATCTACCTGTACAAGTTGAGCAAGTTGCGAGAACATATGTCGCCAAGAATGTTGTTAGCCTCTAAAAAGCCGCCACATGTCCCAGATATATATATTTTAAAGGCATTCCCTTCTATAAATAGCAGAGTCTCGAGACTTCAAGAGACATTCAATAGTCATCGAGTTCTCATTCGATT